CTGCCTTTCTCAATCATCTTCACCATACAGAAAATAACCTGGTGTAGCTTTGGTAACTGGACACAGAGCATGCAGAGAGCCTCAGCACTGACACATAGTCAGCACAGTCACCGAGCAGAGGATTACTGCCATGAACTAGAAGGAACTTTTTTGGGTACTCGGTTAAATAACTTGAATGGCATCCAGGTCCATCCATGTGGTTGCATTTCTAGTGGAAGATCAGACAGTGTTCAAGTGATCCAAGTACTTCCAGGGCTACAATAAGCCATACAATTGTGTTGGATTAAAAATACTAAATTTAAAAATGCATGCAAAGCCCTCTGTGATATGCTACATGACTTGCATGTTGCTTCTCATACCCCACTACCCAGGCCTTGACCAACTCAGAGGTAAATCCATCAGTGACAAAGAACTCACCCTTTGTCCCCTGCCCCCTGCATTAACCACTCTTCCATGTGGTCATTTTTTTTTTCTTCCTCTGGGGCCCACCATCACAGCTCTTAAATCAGCCAGAGCGATCTCTACTGAGTGAAGCAGGTCACTCCCTTCCCTACCATGCTGAGCTCTTTATCTCTGCCGCCCCTGCTACCCTGGGAAGCTGTGGAACCGGAAAGCAGAGCCAAGCCCCCCGCACGGCAACTCGGATGACACACAGCCTTCACTGTTGTTGCTCAGTTAAGGAAAACAATTCCCTGGGCAGCACTTCTGCATGCCTCTAGGCCTTGCTACAGGCACTGAGATATGTTGGCATGCAACTACCAATGCCGTAGTAGACACCTCACAAGTCATGGTGGTACAGTTTCTTTAAATGGTTTTTGGGAGAGCCTGAATTTGGGGACTAAAATGGCAAGTCTGTAAAAGTTTCAGCTAACAAGCTCTGCAAGGGGGCTGTGGATGAGGACTGAATGCTTTGGCAAGAATCCGTGCAGGGTTCAACCTGACAGCAGCAGGCAGTACTGAAGACCACTGAAGGCCAGGATTAAGGGTCACGGGCTGAGCTACAGGTGAGGACTGCCTCTCTCTAATAGCAAAGGATACACAGCCTCCAGATTGCTCAGTGGATGTCTTGATCTATGGCACTGATAAGGCCAGACCTCAGCAGCACGGGCTGAGCTGAGTGGGGAAGCTTTCATAGCACCTGCTTGAGAAAACGGATTTCACCAGGTCCATGAAATGCCAAACAAAATGGCAAAAGAGGAGCCAAGAATATAAGTGTCAAGTGCAAGGCTTGAGGAAACAACTTTGTAAACACCTTGTTCCTGCATTCTCCTCCAGCTCTGTGCCTGAACTCTCCGCGGTCACTTGGGGCTGAAAATAAACCAAGCCCTTTTAAATAGAGGCCAGCAACAGAGCTTTCTTTAGAAAATGCAGGTGTGGAATGTGACCTTTTCTCCATCATGTACCAGGCCTGTGTGACCCTAAATCGGCTGGTCTGCTCGCTAGCAGGCTGCTGTGGCTGGACAACCACAGACCAGTTGCTTTGAGTAACTGTTGTCAGAAGAACAGCAGCTTTGCAGACTTGGCTACAAAGAAGAGGGAAGAAGGAAGTTGCTATGGATATAACACAGGAACATGTTAACACACTGGAATTGGACTAATACAAACAGTGTTCAAAACCCTGTTAGGTATGACACCAAGTTATGTGTCTTCAGAGCAGAAAATCAGGCTTTTCCTTCTCTGATGAATCAGAGGTAATTGCGCTACATGCTCAAAGCACAATGACTCATTAAAAAAAGAATAGCTCACAGAGCTATTAATCTGTGTTTTCATGATGTACTTGGCATTATCAAGTTAACTATTCATACAACGTAAAGTTGTAGATGACATTAGCAGAAAAGGCCAGCGCATTATCCTGACGCTATTATTCACAGGATGACACTAAGATTTCACATACCGCTCAAGATGAGAGACATTCTCTGAAAACATATCATGGGAGCAGGAAAATGGGGTGGAAAGCAAGCTGTTCGGTTCAGAGAGGTGTGCAGACACCAAATCATTGAGCGACCCTTCAGAACTGCGCCAGATAAGCATGACATAGCAGCTAATATGATAAAGTAAGGAGATTTAAGAATATGGAGGGCAAAGCTGCTGCATGAAAAAAGCACAGAGGATTATCAGAAGTGACTGGAAAAATTGGGCAGAGGTGGGGAATGTGCTTTTTCACCATTGGATCCTGCAAGATACACTCTGTTTCAAGCACTTCAGTTTAGTGGCTTCGGGTTGCAGTAAAGCTCTGTTGAACATTTACCCAATGCAGAGGCACTGCATGCTTTCAGCACTGGCTGATGAGCAGCACTTAATGAGGCTCTGCAAAAAGCTGCATAGCAAAACCTCATGGCACATATTTGCACAGTACCTGCCAAAACCAACCCTGCCTTCCCAGCACTGTTTGCCCTTCACTTTTCCTTCAGGAGCAAAACGAATCTTCAGATGAACATCCTCTAAAGAAACAATCCTCACTAAAACACAGAGTCATTTTTGGTTGGGGACAGGAGATGACAAAATATAACGGATGCTTTATGTCTTTAGGACCCATTTGCTATTACAACAGGCAACAAATCTCCCCTTCCAGTCAAAGTGAAGGCTTTAGAGTCAGTCATCTTTATAGAGACTTGACACAGAAAAAACACCCAAAAACTTTCCTCCGCCTCCCACTCCCGGGGATGTATTTTATTCTGCGCTGTACTCTGACACATGGCCTTTGCTGTGTCTGCAACAGGAGTTTGCAAGAGGAATGACACCTTCACAAAAGAGCCATAGACATGTGGCTAAACAAATTAATGACGTTAGGGCACACAGACAAAATGCAATAAACCGTAAAAGATGCAAGCTATTTACTACCTAATAATGCATAAACAGAGTTAGCTAATTTTGTATAGAAAGGGGAGCACCAGGGATGGTGCAAAGATTAAAGCAGGCTGGAAAATATGCGGATTTGTTTTGATGGAAGCTTTATGACTTGCTCTAGTGTAGAATCAGGTGTGGAAATGACTTCATTGCAATTATACAGTTACATAAAAAGAATAAATAATAATCAGAAAAGACTCTGCATTCCTTGTTTTATTAGATGAAAATGCCGATCTGGTTTCAATTATTTAGTGGACTGATACAGTTTTAGCCCATTGCCTATACTGATAAGATCAGCTGCAAATAAATAGAGAACGGTGAACAGAAAGAATAGGAATCACAGTTCCATCACTGTTTTTCAGGATATGTTTCAGGGTATTTCCTGTACATTCCAGTACGTTTTACGATACGAATTTGGAGCAGAACAACCACTCATTCCAGTGTCTAATTCAAACTCTGAAAGAGACACACACGTCTGCAACACTGCAACAGGAGGAGTTGCACTAGTACCTACAGCAGAGTCTGCAAGTCAGTACAACAAAGCAGTTTTCACCCAGTCTTTACTGTGGCTAACATCTGGTTCTCAATTCTTTGTTTAATTAATAATAGTAACTCCAGCTAAAAAGAATATCAAGGCCAAAAGAATGCTTAACCCTTTAGAGCTAACGAAGTGTTGTGGTTTAACCCCAGCCAGCAGCTCAGCCCCATGCAGCCACTCGCTCACTCCCCCCCCGGTGGGATGGGGGAGAGAATTGGAAGAGTAAAAGTGAGAAAACTCGCGGGTTGAGATAAAGACAGTTTAATAGGTAAAGCAAAAGCCGTGCACGCAAGCAAAGCAAAACAAGGAATTCATTCCCTGCTTCCCATCGGCAGGCAGGTGTTCGGCCATCCCCAGGAAAGCAGGGCTCCGTCACGCACGATGGTGACTTGGGAAGACAAATGCCATCGCTCTGAACGTCCCCCCTCTTCCTCCTCCTTCCCCCAGCTTGATACACTGAGCATGACGCCGTACAGTATGGAATGTCCCTTTGGTCAGTTGGGATCAGCTGTCCCGGCCGTGTCCCCTAACTTCTTGTGCACCCCCAGCTACTCACTGGTGGGGGAGCGTGAGAAGCAGAACAGCCCTCGACTCCGTGTAAGCACTGCTCAGCAGTAACGAAAACATCCCTGTGGTATCAGCTCTGTTTCTACCGCAAATCCAAAACACAGCAGTGAAGAAAATGAACTCTGTCCCAGCCAAAACCAGAACACAAAGGCAGGCATGCTAGTGCAAGAAGCGCAAGATGAAGTAGAGTCGACATCAATGGTCTGTCTACACCAGGATTCCCACAGAGCTGACTCAACAGAAGTGCTGCAGCAAAGTGAAAACTGCTTGCATAGGCAGTGAAGGCACAAAGAGTCTCTGCTCCCACTGAACAGGAAGAAGCTGAAGGGCTTCACTATCTTTCACAATCAAGTTCTCAAAGGAACAGAAGAGAAACAAACACTACAGAAACTGACTCAGTGAAAAGAGAATATATATGAGCAGACAATACTGATTTAGTTTCCTATTTAAAGCTGCAATTCCTCATTCCGACACCCAGCTAGACAACATACCCTGGGCCTTACTGAAGGGTGAGAGAAAACCAAAAACCAAACCTCACTGAAAAGACAGGAAGAGAAGTTTTCAGCTCTCAGATCAGGGCAACATCAATTAAAGCAACACAGCTAGAACTTCTGGAGCTCAGTATTTTAAAACAGAGTCAGAAATCAGTGCATACATGCATGGGAGAACTTAGCAGTCTCAAGTTAACACTGATACTGGGTGAGAGCACCCTTGATGCTGGTTGAGATGCTGGGGAAGAAGCCCACACTAAGCAGCAGTGCAACGAACTATTCGCATAACTCTATCAATTACATGAAACCTACACCATGCCACAAACCTTTCATGTGAGCTTTTGACAGACACATCATTTGTGAAAAATCAATTAACTGTATAAAACGAGTTTGTCAAAAGCACACATAGGCGTAATCACCTCTTTTCTGATAGATGAGTGACTGCTGATTATAGCTTAGATTTTTAAGTGACTACCAATTTCAGAGGCTTAAAGAAAGCGCTGAAAAAAAATAATTCCATCAGATTAACGGCTGCATGTCAGACCAGGGAGGAACAGAAATCAGGGTTCTTTTTGTATTTTGTCCAGGTTCTTATCACTTTCTGGCAAAACGTACATTTGCCTAAAGCAGCAACCAGCGTTTTTTTCCATCTGTATGTAAATCCCAACATGCAAAAAACAAACTCTAGACATAGCTCAGTACACAACACACAACTGCATCTCATGGCCCAGACCCCTGCCACCTCAGAGTCCACCTTAGTAGCTGCTCTTCTCAGGTGCGTTTCTCACAGCTCGTGGGAGTTTGCGTGAGGCTCCGGAAGCTTGTCGGTATCACAGTTCTTAATCAGCTGAAAGAGGAACTCGACCTGCTTCTCGTAATTCTCAACTGAGATTCTCTCATTCAACCCATGGATCCTGGTAGAAAGAGAAGAATGTTTTTCATTCTAGTGGGTATTTGTGACCCACCTGCATATACCCAGCACCCTATTTGCCTGTTCACTTCATAAGACAACACACAACGTAAAATACAGCAATATACACCAAATACTGCACTGTAACTGCAATGTCTGTTCCTCAGGCCAACCAAATTTACTGATTCTGAGGCTCAGAGCACAACTAAGTCCATGGTGTACGTGGAAACAAAAAAACCCCAAACCCAAACAGTATTCTAGCTCTCTAGTCATTTCTTGGCCATTTATGTCACTGTCCTGTACAGCTATGAGAGCGCTCTATTCCTGTATCATCTGCACCTCAATAAAACAAAAAATCTAGTACAAGCTAAATAAAGAAACAATCCTTTGCATGATGATGTTCTTTGTTATCACTTCATCCCAGGAAACCTAGCTTCCAGCTTTAAGGAGCAAATAAATTCAGAGTGGCATGCGTCCAAACATACAGAGGAATTTCTTAAACAAGGCCAACTACCAGAACACCTTTCACACTGCTGCACTATATACGGGATCCACTCAGCTTCACAGCATTGCTGTACTACCAAAGAGGACACCTAAATGAGGTCTGGTCTGCATGTGAAGTAGAGTAAGGGCTAACACTCTCACAGTGTAATTACCAACCCCTATTTGTGCAGCACCCAAATCTGCAGGAAATGGGTGGCCTAACAGAACGTGAGGCAACACCACCACCACGCCAAGGTATACAAGGTTGGGTTTCCTTCTTCTGCCTAATGCGTATCGATTTTCTCTTTCGGTAGTCCCCACCCCAAACAGCTGCGTGCATGCAGACAGAATACAGTACCTGGGAAGATCGTCTGATTTCAAGAGCAATGGGTTAAATCGATAAATGGCATTTGTGACGTTAGTGAAATGCCTGCTGTCTGTGTTTCCAATACATGTGCCTGGAAAACAAACCTCAGGTTTACTTTGCATGAGAGCAGCAATTTAATGACCACACTTTTCCCAGGAGAAAGGAAAAGCAAATGATAACAGTTCTATATGACCCCTTGCCACACCAAAAGCAAAATCGCTGGAAACAGTTTACTGGTACATTCTCTCCTTCATGAGCAGAAGGAACTGAACATACAATTCAATCATTCTAAGAACAGCCATGATAATCAGCCTTCACAAAAGTTTAAGCTTCAAACTGCAGTCCAACAAACAGTACAGAACTAGGAAGGAGCTGCAAGAAAGGGAAGGGGCTGGGATCATAAGGAACAATACAGAAAAGAAGGAATGGCTTTGCCAGCTATGAAAACAATAAAAGAAGAGCTAAAGCAAGAAGACCTCCTACTCTCCCTCACAATTCCTTTCTTCCTTGAAGAGATTCCTTTGTATGGAGAGTGTCAAATTCAAGTCTCATTGTTTCTGTCAGTTTCCTGTTTGCTTTTTTACTTCCACTACTAAAAACAACATTAAAACTTTAAAAACATAAAGAGGGGAGCCAATAAAAAGAGGAAAACCCAGCTGTTTCCAGCAGTTAACAGCTGGAGTGGAGAAATACACAGAAAATGGAAACAAGTCAATATTGGGGATGGGGGATAGAAAGGCAGGGCGGAAGCTGGAGAGGAAACAATAATCATCACATGCTTGCTGTTACCTGGGACTACGCTGTCAACATCTGGGAATGTATCCAGAATGGTTCTTTGCAAAATATGGACTCCAAACATCTGGTCATCCCAAGGACTGATGGGGAGTGGGTCAAAGGCCTCTACTACATCTATCTTCACTCTGTCATCAGCAACAGTGTTTCTAACTATCTCTAGCACCTATGGGCAAAATACAGAGATTAAATAAGCAAAAGAAACGAGAGAGCATCCATTCTAGATGTCAGCAAATGTTCCGCTTTCCAGAAAACATTTGTCCTTGAACTGCCAATTGTGGCTGCAAATACAGATGCATAGTTAGGACTGAAACCATGCAGCAGTCTCTCTTCCTCTTACTCAGTGGATGGCTGACACTTAAGCTAATCCTTCCCCCCAGTGCAATCAGATGCACGTCACTGTCTCAGGGTATTCCTGAACTGCTTCACTCTGAAAGGCAGGTGGTCAACCTGCTGCTGCTTGGTAGTTGGGTCATCCAAGCAAACCATCCAGAATAAACTTTCAGAGCAATTCCCAAATCTTCCCCTTCCTCCGCTGTTATGAATACAGGGAGAGGAGACGAGAAGAGTGTTCTTATAGAACAGATTTGCTGCCACAAATGGCCAAGTGCTGCCCAGCTCAGAAAGGGATGGAGAACAGCCCCGCATCCGGGGGGACGGCAAGTACCTCGGTGGCCTTCTCTGCAGAGTGGATCCGGAAGTTCACGGTTGCTTTTGCAGAAGGTGGGATGACATTTATCTAGAAAAAAAGGAAGAGCCAAAACTTAAAAGGAAGTTAAAACCAGATTAAAATGCCAACTGCAAACTCAGAAACTGCTCAATTACAGGCCTCAGACTAAGTCTTCACTGTTTCCACTAAGTGCAGTATCTCTTTCTGTACTCTGTGTTAAAACACTGTAAATCTCATCTATAATGCAGATAATGACACAAAGAAATATTAATCAATTCAACAAAAATGAAGTTAGTTGTTATACAGAAATTTTCCTCTTGAGATATGCCCTCTCCCTTCAGAAACTTTGTATTTAGAAATTCTGAAAGTTTATGTTGTTTTTTAAGCAATATTTTTACCTCACTCTCATATTACTTTTCCCCACACATGAGACACGTAAGTCACTTAATAAATTATGTTACTGAAGACACACAACTCTTTTTTGTTTAACAAAATTATATTCATTCTGTAGAAAAGAAGGTACAATCTTTAGGAAAAAAAACCCCAAGAAACCGAGGTGTCACTTCTCTCCTGGCCACTCAGTGTCACTGTTCAGCCACTGCATCTTGTTTTCTTGTCCAGTGATGCTTTTCAGTAACAGATTTTTTCAGGGACACACCAAACAGCCTGCTTCTTTTCCAGAGCTACAGTATTTTCGGATAGCTACACCTCCTTATCAGGGCAAGATCTGGCTGTAGCTGCCAGAACCTGTTATCTCTCAGTCCAAGGTGCACACTAACCCTACATGAACGAAGGTAAATGCCAGACCCGTGCTCACAAACACAAGACCCCACCTGGGTGAGGGAAGCATTTATGACTGTGGCAGTTTCAAATACTGTCATCGATACTTTGTATGATTACACAGAAAATACTCTCTCCTGTCCATCCTAAAATATAAACAATCTTAACAGTGGTTTACAAAGATCTTTTTGTGACAGAGATCAGATACTTCTGAAAGGAAGTAATTTTCACCTGTAGCTAAATCCTAGCCACATCTAAAGTAAAAATTAGACTGGTGGTGACACCACATGGGGTCTAAGACCAGGGCCCAAATTGATCTTGTAACTGGATATAAATAGGTGGAAACCAAATGTCCTAATTGACTCATGGCTCTACATAGAGAAAAATCAAAATGAAGCTACCTTGATTCCTGCGTTAAACATCGTGACTGCCGTAGTAGTCCGAATCAAGGCATTGGTGGAAGGTTTCGAGGCGAGAACTCTTACAAAAAAAAAAAATTTCAAAGAAGTTTAGTATCGATAAAACATAAGCACCACAATTACACAGGCAATAAGCTGAATGATGGCATGTTCAATTAACAAAGTGGTCATTAGCAGTAAAGCGCTGATGTTGTCTAAACTATGAAATAGTTTAACTGGTATAACTGATAGGTATAACTGATTTCCTGGGAAGACTAGAAAGGGCTAGTGGTCTTCATCTTTTAAGGGTGAGAGGCTGGGAATGGTCATCAAGGATGTATTTTCTTACCTGCTGACAATAGGTGAAAACAGCCATAGATTGCTCATGATGAGATTGAGAGGAAAACTGAACTAAGGGGAAGAAATAACACCACAAATCAGAAAGTTTCTTGTTTTCAAGAAGACAGTGTAGTCACTTGGCTATGGCTGAAATAATTCTGGCAGAAACAATAATCTGGGAGAAAGGCCAGCTTAAGTCCTGTCCAGGAACTACGTAACTATGCTCTAAATTTATATGCTGGGTTATTCTTCACTTATTAATATGAAAATCTGAGAATGAAATCATAGTTCTTTCCTCACCTCTGATGCAAGGTGCTCTATAGTCATGAGTTCTGGCCCATGGCCAAACAGATTGCGCAAGGGATTCTGCTCCAGTCTATGGCAAAACAAATCAAGATTTGAAATTTTAAAAAAATCTCTGACTATTATTGCTCCAGAAGGTTGACAGGGATTTGATTTCTGAAAGGTATCCGTGTATTTGAGATGCAATCACACTTTCCTCTCCTGGTAAGTAAATCTGCGAGCACAGCTCCACAACAGATTTCTGAGCATTCCGGTCACATGCAAAGACTTTCTTCAAAGAACAGCTGAAAAAATCCAAAAGCCTGCCTCTTACAAAGAATACATGGAAATCTAGAAAAATATCACACCAAATTCCATCATATCTGGGCATACTAACTTTTTCTAAAAATACGTATTTATTAGCCAATTTGATATCTACACAGACATGTAAAGAGATGATTTACCCAGTCATGTTCTGACTTCACACCATGTTTACTGGCTTGGATAATTACCAGATAGAGGTAGCAGGTATGTGCAAAAATAAGTTCCAGAGAAATTCTGCAACCCACACAAAGCAATCTCTATTGCTACAGAATAAATGATGGTAGACATCATGATGCAGCAATTGTCTTGATTTTAAAGAACCAACTGACACTAAGAACAGCTGAAGTGAAAAGACACTCCGGACACTTGGCAACTGTCCTTTTGCTGGGGATTGCATTTCTGCCCTTCACAGTGAGCTACAAACTTCAGTTTCAAATATACAAGGGGGATTTGTAAAATACTCTAAATACAAATATTAAAAAAAAGTCACATATCAGTGACTTAGGAGTCTGTTTGACTGTCTTTGATGTTATATATGACAGGGAAACTCTCACCTGGACATCGCTGCTGCAAGAATGCCAATACTTGTCTCCTTAGGAGGAAAGGATGAATGTCCTGGATCTTTTTCCACAGTGAAGTTCAGTGTTATTGAACCCTTTTCTGTGATAGCAATTCTGGTCAATGATAAACAAATAAATGATTAATACAACTCCAAACACACATGCACAGACTATAGGTAAAAAGAACTACTCTGCGTATTTTTAGTATCATAAAAAACACCAAAGCAACAGCAACAGCAAATCTTCAAGTGTTGGAGGACTGACGTCTTGGCTGTTTCTCCAGTGAGCAGACTCTACAGCATACAATTAATGTGCACTAGGTGGAACATTCTGCTTTTGTCAGCACAGCTGTGATGGACAGCAAACAAATGCTGAAGGTCCTTTGCTTGCACTTTGTGCCACTGCTGTAGCTTTAGCAACACCAACACCACCACATGCCTTGAAAATGTATTTTATTGACATTAGCAAGGTCGTTCCTTGCTAGTAATAATTATTGAAAAATGGATCACTTTCATCATGGTCAATTGTGTTCTCTTACTTACACAGCTACTGGCTTCTTCACTCCCGCAATGATGCCATCTAGTATTGCACTTCCCTCATCTAGTAAGAAGGAGAGTTTCACTCCTCTGGCTTCCAGGAGAGCTGCAATCTTCATTGCTCCCTTCCGACCAAACACCTGTGAGAATCCAGTCAGAAGAACCGGTCAGATTAAGCCACACCATTGGGAAGAATACTGGAAAACATCCAGCTGTTGACAGTGCCCAGTGCTACAATGCAAAGAATGCAAGAAATCCCCTAATGAACAGCTCTGGAGCAAATTGTCAATAAAAGACGGTCAATAAAATTCATTGGAGATTGTTAACGGCCTAGCAGCAGGTGAATTTATACCCGCATTGAGGAATGCTCTCATTCACGAGTCACTGAGTGTTGCTTTGAATCCTACTAGTTCTTGGACACAGTGCTATCTCAGAGCTATAAATCCACAGATTAATTAGTCATATTAAAGAGATACTCATTTTAACTGTTAACAATTCTTTGTCTTTATATTTTGAAAATGAATAAACAAAATCACCTCATCTGCCTCTTTGTACCATTTACTAGAGGGTATACCCACAAGAGAAGTGGAATGTTTTTGATAACTCTTCCTGATCATTTGGAACAATCATGTAAATCTTAGCCCAGCTTTTCATGTATCATATATACTCCCAAATGTGATGCCTGCTGCACCTTCCATGCAGAAAAGAATTTGAAATAACACTCTACTGTTTTCTTTCCACTTTGCCCATCACACCAAACCCTTTGTCATTGTCACTTAAAGGCAAACAATCAATATCTAGCTATGACCACATGCCTGACACAGTATCTACCTGCATAACCAAGAAAAACAGGAAAGACTTTCTAGCTAAACAATGTGTAAAAATTAAGCCTTGTTACATACATGAACAATGCAAACAACTCGTTATTTTGATGAAACAAAAGAAAATACCTCTTCATCATGTCCAATGCCAACATAGAAAGATCTGCGAGGTCTGTAATTTCTTCTCAGCAGAAATTCTAGAGCTTGAAGAATACCCTGCAGAAAAAAAAAAGCAGAATGTATTGTTCTTTTCTTGTGTGTTAGTAAGGAGAATAACTGTAAAATAAAGCAATGTAATGTAAAATAAATAGGATGCATTCACAGCCCTTAAGGAGACTTTGTCCCATTCACAGTTAGGCTTTTATTTCTACAACTCCGACTGATGATACTCATATTCTCTGGAAAACACACTGTGATATTTTTGATCAATAATGCTTAAGACTTAGTGTGCTACACAGTGTCAGTGTACATACACAACATACAGTGTAGGCTTGTTCGTGCTACTGATGAAGTCAGTGACAAACCGCACAGAAAGCACGACAGAGTTATAATTATCCAAGGAATTCACTGTTCCTTTAAACTGCCTATCCTACAGAGTTTGGCTCTGAATGGAGCTACCAAGTTTTGTACAAAAAAGTGCTAAGATGACAGAAACAGAAGAACAAGAAACTTAGTCTGAAGAATGAGAAATGAAATCTACCATTTGCTGTATTATTCCATCTCACCTGTTTTCTTCTATTTAATCCAGTTATTTTTTT